TCGGGGAGCGCGGGGTCCGGGGCTCCGGGGACCCTGCGCGGAGCCGCACGGCCAGGCCTCCTGCGCACCGCAGTTCTCTCCAACTCCCCGCCTCCGCCGCATCGGGGCCCAGCGCCGCCGGAGGACCCTGTCCGGATCTGCGAAGGTAAGTGGACTTGACCATTCGGGGGTCTTTTGTCCCCAAACCACCGCCGGAGTTCGCGGAGCGGGAAGCGCAGGATGGGGGCGGCATGTTCGTAGGAAGCGTATTTAAAAAATGCAACAGGCGGGGCCGAGCAGGAAAACTCCTCGGGTTAACGTTTCCCACGGAGAGGAGACTTGTCCAGGACTGAAACTTGGGTAGGTTCTTCCCATCCGAAGACTCGCAGGGACTCCTTAAGTCTGGGTCTGAGCTCCCTCTGCTGGTTCCTTATGAGGATGGAAAGCGAGGCTACAGGTGAGAGGTGGGAGCGGAACTGCCCTTCTTTGCTCCCACACATTGTCATGATTTCTCCTTTGAGGGAAGTGACTGCTCCCTTACAGGGACACCTTCTGATCCCATGAAAGCTAAACACTCAGACGGAATCTTAAAAGGTCCTTGCAACTTTTGCTTTTCATCGCTGAGTCGTTTGTGCCTGAAACAACAAGAATCATAGCAGGACTCACTGGGTAAACTGCATTTGAATAAAAACATTGTATTTCTTTTACATTTTAAATTAAATCTATTGGGGTGACATTGCTTAATAAAACTATATAAGTTTCAAGTGCACAATTCTATGATACATCATGTGTATATTGGCTGTGTGCCCACCACCCAAAGTCAAATCTTCCCTTAGTCACCATACACTAGAACCCCTCTACCCCTCATTACCCCTCACCCCCTTAAAACATTTTAAATGGCTAAAGCCAGCCACAGTTAAAATAAATACCATCGGGCAAGGTTATATCTTGTAGCTGCTTGTCATCTGCCACTATTCTTTGTTATCCTAATGTGTGCATTTAAAAGTATAATAGTAATAAAAAAAGAATCAATTGAATAAACTTAGATTGTATTTAATAACAGATTTATTGTGATTCTGAAATTTCTATCCAGTACACGAATTGAGATATCAGTTTATATCCACTCCCAGCATACCTGTAGCCTCAGAGAATTTCTTTGTGTTTTTTTTCCTCCCAGAAAGGAATGTCATGAAAAAGGAACAGAAAAGAGCCGTCATTGTTGGTGAAAGGGGAGTTTTCTTTCCCCGCTGGTGGTTACTTCATGATTGGAAGAGATGTACCTAGGTGGCTGAAGAGATTAGATTTTTCTAGCTGTGCAGATGAAGCTGATAAAAGAAGACATGAAAATGCTTCCTCTGGGTCATAATCGGCTGATAAGTAAGAAGACCTGAAAAAGACAGATTTGAAATGAGGGCAGGAATTTTGAGATTTTTAAAACCAGGTAGGACTTTGGACATTTATTGAGGATGTTTTTCTCCCAAAACGAAGAAAAAAAAATTCTCAAAACCAGAAGTGTAAAAAGTTGAGAACAAAAACAACCGAGTCCACCCCAAGGATTTCAGACTTCGTCACTTTCTTTGGGTAGACACACACTCAAGGGCATCACTCACGTTTGGTGATTTTATTTCCGACGATGGTTTCCTATGCTAGGAATGACTTCATTTGGAGTTTGGAGTGCTTTTTTTCTTCCTTTTTCTTTTTCTTTTTCTTTTTAAACAGTGTATGTTTTGACACTTCACGTTAAATTTATGCAAAGGAAGTAAATCCTAAAGTCATAGTATGTTTGAGTCTGTATATCACTGTTTGCTCTGTGATATGGAAAAACTAGAGGATTTAACATTCCTTGAAATTTTATTGGAAGCAAAACTGTGTTAGAGACGCAGATATACAGTGTAAGTTTTCTCTTTTTGGCAATCGTATTTGCTTTGAAGGAGCCAACTATCAGCTGGATTTCACAGCATAAGCGATTTATAGTCTTTGTTTTATCAAGGCCTTAAATGGGTGTTTTATACTGAGCAGATGGGAACCACATTGAGCACTCTGTTTGACATGATTGCCTAAGGAAAGGAACTCCCTGATGGATCATGGCGTTAATGTTTACAGGACATTTCTTATTTTTAGCATTAGTGATGTTTGCTTTCTCAACTTTTGAGGAATCTGTAAGCAATTACTCTGACTGGGCAGTTTTTGCAGATGATATAGATCAGTTTAAAACACAGAAAGTGCAAGATTTCGGATCCAACCAAAAGCTGAAAAAAAGTATGCTTCATCCAAGTTTATATTTCGATGCAGGAGAAATCCCAACAATGAGACAAAAGTCTCGCACAAGCCATTTGCATCTTTTTAGAGCTATCAGAAGTGCAGTGACAGTCATGCTGTCCAACCCAACATACTACCTACCTCCACCCAAGCATGCTGATTTTGCTGCCAAGTGGAATGAAATTTATGGTAACAATCTGCCTCCTTTAGCACTGTACTGTTTGTTATGCCCAGAAGACAAGGTTGCCTTTGAATTTGTCCTGGAATATATGGACAGGATGGTTGGCTACAAAGACTGGCTAGTTGAGAATGCACCAGGGGATGAGGTCCCCATTGGCCATTCCTTAACAGGCTTTGCCACTGCCTTTGACTTTTTATATACCTTACTAGATGATCATCGAAGACAAAAATACCTGGAGAAAATATGGGTGATTACCGAGGAAATGTATGAATATTCCAAGGTGCGCTCATGGGGCAAACAACTTCTTCATAACCACCAAGCTACTAACATGATAGCACTGCTCACCGGGGCCTTGGTGACTGGGGTAGAAAGAGAATCTAAAGTAAATTTATGGAAACAAGTTGTAGTAGATGTGATGGAAAAGACCATGTTTCTGTTGAATCATGTTGTTGATGGTTCTTTGGATGAAGGTGTGGCGTATGGGAGCTACACAGCTAAATCGGTCACACAGTATGTTTTTCTGGCCCAGCGCCATTTTAACATCAACAACTTGGATAATAACTGGTTAAAAATGCACTTTTGGTTCTATTATGCCACCCTTTTACCGGGCTTCCAAAGAACTGTGGGTATAGCAGATTCCAATTATAATTGGTTTTATGGTCCAGAGAGCCAGTTGGTTTTCTTGGATAAGTTCATCTTAAAGAATGGAGCTGGAAATTGGTTAGCTCAGCAAATTAGAAGGCACCGACCTAAAGATGGACCAATGGTCCCCTCCACTGCCCAGAGGTGGAGTACTCTTCACACTGAATACATCTGGTATGATCCCCAGCTCACCCCACAGCCTCCTGCTGACTATGGTACTGCAAAGATGCACACATTCCCTAACTGGGGTGTTGTTACTTATGGGGCTGGATTGCCAAATACCCAGACCAATACCTTTGTGTCTTTTAAATCGGGGAAACTAGGAGGTCGAGCTGTGTATGACATAGTTCACTTTCAGCCGTACTCCTGGATTGATGGGTGGAGAAGCTTTAACCCAGGACATGAGCATCCAGATCAGAACTCATTTACTTTTGCTCCCAATGGGCAAGTATTTGTTTCCGAAGCTCTCTATGGACCTAAGTTGAGCCACCTTAACAACGTATTGGTGTTTGCGCCATCACCCACGAGCCAGTGTAATAAGCCCTGGGAAGGTCAACTGGGAGAATGTGCACAGTGGCTCAAGTGGACCAGTGAGGAGGTTGGTGACGCAGCAGGGGAAATCATTACTGCCTCTCAACACGGGGAAATGATATTTGTGAGTGGGGAGGCAGTGTCTGCTTACTCTTCTGCAATGAAGCTAAAAAGCGTGTATCGTGCTTTGCTTCTCCTAAATTCTCAAACTTTGCTAGTTGTCGATCACATTGAGAAGCAAGATGATTCCCCAATAAAATCTGTCAGTGCCTTCTTTCATAATCTGGATATTGATTTTAAGTACATCCCATATAGGTTTATGAACAAGTATAATGGCGCCATGATGGACGTGTGGGATGCACACTACAAAATGTTTTGGTTTGATCACCATGGCAATAGCCCTGTTGCTAGTATACAGGAAGCAGAGCAAGCTGCTGAATTTAAGAAACGGTGGACCCAGTTTGTTAACGTTACGTTTCAGATGGAATCCACAATCACAAGAATTGCATATGTCTTTCATGGGCCATATGTCAATGTTTCCAGCTGCAGATTTACTGATAATTCCAATTCTGGACTTCAGATTTCTCTCAACGTCAACAATACTGAGCATGTTGTCTCCATTGTAACTGACTACTACAACCTGAACACAAGATTCAGTTACCTGGGATTTGGTGGCTTTGCCAATGTGGCTGATCAGGGCCAAATCACCCGATTTGGTTTGGGCTCTCAAGCAATAGTAAGGCCCGTAAGACAGGATCAAGTTATTTTCCCCTTTGGATTTAAATTTAATATAGCAATTGGGTTGATTTTGTGCATTAGCTTGTTGATTTTAACTTTTCAGTGGCGGTTTTACCTTTCTTTTAGAAAGCTAATGCGATGGATCCTAATACTTGTTGTTGTCTTGTGGTTTATCGAGCTCCTGGATGTGTGGAGCACTTGCACTCAGCCCATCTGTGCAAAATGGGCAAGGACGGAGATGGAGGCCAGCACAAAGTCTGTGTCTTCCCAAGGGCACCACGTTGATCGTCCCGATGTTGTCATTACCTCACTTCCTGGTTCAGGAGCGGAAATTCTCAAACAACTATTTTTCAACAGTAGTGATTTTCTCTACATCAGGGTTCCCACAGCCTACATTGATATCCCTGAGACGGAATTTGAAATTGACTCCTTTGTAGACGCCTGCGAATGGAAGGCATCAGATATCCACAGTGTGCATTTCCGTCTACTCCGAGGCTGGTTGCAGTCTTTAGTCCAAGATACAAAACTGCACTTGCAAAACATCCATCTGCATGAATCCAGTAGGGGTAAACTGGCCCAATATTTTATAGTGAATAAGGACAAGAAAAGAAAATCGAAGAGGAGAGAGTCTTTGTCGGAACAAAGAAGTAGAATGAAAGGCGCCTTTGATAGAGATGCTGAATACATTAGGGCTTTGAGGAGACACCTGGTTTACTTCCCGAGCGCACGGCCTGTGCTCAGTCTAAGCAGTGGGAGCTGGACCTTAAAGCTTCATTTTTTTCAGGAAGTTTTGGGATCTTCACTGAGGGCATTGTATGTAGTAAGGGACCCTCGGGCATGGATTTATTCAATGCTGTACAGTAGCAAACCAAGTCTTTACTCTCTGAAGAATATACCAGAGCGCTTAGCTAAACTGTTTAAAGTAGAGGGAGGTAAAGGCAGATGTAGCTTAAATTCGGGCTATGCTCTGGAGTATGAATCATTAAGGAAAGAATTATCAAAACCCAAGTCCAACGCAGTCTCCTTGTTGTCTCATTTGTGGTTGGCACACACAGCAGCAGCCCTGAGAATAAATGCAGATTTGCTACCTACCAGCTACCAGCTGATCAAGTTTGAAGATATTGTGCATTTCCCCCAGAAAACCACTGAAAGGATTTTTGCCTTCCTTGGCATCCCTTTGTCTCCTGCTAGTTTAAACCAAATATTGTTTGCCACTTCCACGAACCTTTTCAATCTTCCCTACGAAGGGGAAATATCACCAAGTAATAATAATGTTTGGAAACAAAACTTGCCTAGAGATAAAATTAAACAGATTGAAAACATCTGCTGGACACTGATGGACCGTCTAGGATACCCAAAGTTTATGGACTGAGTGCTGCAGGTCAGCAGAAATTTGCACTAATACTTTCCAACCCAATTTGTGGACATGATTAGAAGAGTTTATTCTTGTAACTCTGTGTGTGTGTGTGTGTGTGTGTGTGTGAGAGAGAGAGAGAGAGAGAGAGAGAGAAAGAGAACGTGTGTGTTCAGTTAATTACTTGCACAGAGAGATTGTTTTAAAAATAGACACCATATTTGGTGGAGCACAATTTAATTTTTATGTCACTACTTTCTTGCCTTTGTTTCTGAATTGTTTTCTGCTAAAGTGCTTCCACTACAGAGGTACAGATGAAGTTCTATTGTGTCAGGAAATACAGGAAGATTTTTAAAGTTTTTGTCTTAACTCTCTTCATCTGCAACTGTGCTGATGTGTCCTGGAACCTCAAAGACTGCTCAAGGCCTTCAGTGGCTGTTTTACCCAAGCATCTCTTGCTTTTAAGATGGACTACAGAGGTTCCTTAGCTTTTTATAAAAGGTCTTCTAACATGTTTATCCTGCACTAGAAAATAAATCCTTTACTGTGTATAATGTTTAGTGATATCACTGGGGAAATGGTGGAAACTTCTGTCTGAACTATAGGGTTCCTTCTATAAAATACAGATGGACATACAGAAGGAATATGGTTTTTTGCAGATCAGAAACTGACCTAAACAGCCTCCTTAACGTTTTCTCCTTTGAAGTAATGGAATCAGTCTTTGCATAATCCGGGTGCCAAGGGCTGGTGGAGTATTTTGGACCTGCTTGCCTGTGTAAAACTCCTTTCTTTGTATTGCCTCCTTGAAGCCACAGCTGCTAGCATCACACCACTCCCATCCTGTCCCTTTTGTCACTGTCATGCAGAATCAGTCGCAGTTACTGATGGCTAAACTCTCTGTATTTTCCAGGATCCCCACCCCCCAGCCCCCGATGATTAATTTTGCATTAAAGCCTAACACAGACTTAGAATGAAACTTCTTTTTGTGGAATTATCACTGTATGACTCAAAGGAAGCTGAGCCACCACGGGCTGCATTTTTTTTTTAGACTAGAAGCAGAGTTGGAAAACTGCCTGACTTGTCTCGCATCCTTTGAATGAGTTTACAGACTGCCAGTGTGGGCAAATGGGAGATGATGTCAGAGGCATCTGTTTCCTTTACCATCTGCATCTTATTAGAAATACCGTCGTCATCGAATGCGGTTCATTTTCTTTTGGTAGTCGCTGAAATCCAAATGCTGTGCCAGTAGAAGCCAGTGGAGTAATTACAATGTACTGGATGAAAACTATTAGTCAGTGTGGAGACTTGATGAAATCTCTGTACAGATTGCAGTCTTCTTCCTGATGTTGCAAACTGTCGTTTCCCCCAAGCTCTCTAACACTTGGGCGTCTGTTATTCTGACCTAGATAAAAGTGGTTCTTTCTCAGTACTTTGTTATTGTGACAAAATGTGCCTGCAGAGTGATAAAGCTGTGGATATGTTCCATTCCAGCGAAACCTCACTTGGCTGTCATTTCCCCCCATATAGTGTGAATGAATGCAGGCCACTCCTACTCTGCTTATATACTCAATTTTCTTCCCGTACTCCCATGACCTTTTCTCTACAATGTCAAAATGAATGAAAGTCATATTAACATAGGTTGAGAGGGCAGAAGAATCTACACTGAATCTACACTGTTATTGCCAAGGAAGACAATAACCTTCCTATTTGAGGGTTATCAACAAGCATGTAAATTGCTACACAGATGTTAACAATATTTTCATAATTGGTCAGTCTCAGTGTTTGCTTTCAATTCCCAGGATGTGGGATCTCAAATGAGATCCAATAAAAAGGCTTTGGGTTGGCAGTAATATCAGGTCTGATCAAGGTAAGAATTAGACATGTGTAGGTAACAAATAAGAAAATGGAAGCTATACCACTGTCTTTCTTTTAAAATTTTATAGAAATGTGCCCATGGGCAGTATGTGGAGGAAAGAAGGGGAAAATGAAAAAGAGTAGTTCTGTGAATGAATATGGGAACATGTTATTGATAGCTAGTGAAAGTGACATGGTTAATAAAATGAGCTTCACAGTGTATCCTAACTTGCACCTCCTCCTTCCCCAGCAATGTCAAGGTGAATTTTCCTGTCCCTGTATTCACCCCCTCCTGCCCCAAGGGAAAGTTTGCTGAAAGTTTACTATTTGCAGATGCTCCTGTGAGGAATATTTTATGTGGAGAGGCATTGAACATACATGATATGTTCATGCTTGGGGACCCCTGCCTTGTCATCTCAATACCTAAGTTGACTGACCCTCCCCAAACACCCAGGTCCTACACTCTTAGGATGTTACCTAGGAAAAAATTTGACCAGATTCTACACTTACTCTTATGTTAAAAATAAAGCAGCAATGATCACTATTGTGATGCTTCCAAAAGAAACAAAATGTCCTCTGTAAATTCGATCCCTTCATTAACTTCCCCAAACTTCAGTCCAGTTGAGATAAAAGCCTTTATTAAAATAAGAACATTTAAGTCTTGAAACTTGGAAAGAATGTGTTTTGCTGGCACAAGTAACATAAGTAAATATAGTGATAATCTGTTTTTCCAAAGTGGAATAATGTTAATTACTCATTCTGGATGGAATGTGCTCTACCCAGAGTTGAATTTACTGTAATAAAAATTCCAGGAAGGATAGGAAATGGAAGAATCTGTTCAGGAGAAAAAAAAGATAAATCTATGAATGCAGTTTAATTTATATAAACCTGGAGAGGCACAAGTTTTAAGCAGATGACACAAGGATGCATACATATTAGGCCTAGACCCCATATATTGGACATTTGATTGACATTTTTATTTAGACAGGAAGAAGTAGTAAATGCCTGGCAAGAATGGGATGGTTATGTCAAATTCCTAGGCATGGAAGAGGACTGGTCACATCACCGCAGTGAATATATTCAAACAAAAACTACTCCACACACATGTGTATTTTGTTTCTTCTGTGGACATGCTACCCTCTTTTGGCCACTTGTAATTTATGTCATTTATCAGTAGAGTTTGGGGTGCATCATCATAGATCCCAGACAGTCCTGATATATAAAGAATATCACATTCAATTTTCTATGAGTAAATACTAACAATGATTTAAAAAATTGCTATGTTTGATCATAAACTAGTTCATTGGAACTACATGTATAACAAGACTCCTCTCTTCCTAAATAAAAAGCTATAAGCAAGTTGGCCATGGTTGGGATAATTTGTAATAGCCCTCTTCTTTAGGTCTTGGGTAACTGTTAGGATTCTGTATGGAGCTGACAAGGCAGACAATGGGAAATGCAGTTGAATATTGACATATAGTCCTACACTTTCAGCCACTAAACTTGCAGCATTCAGTGGTGGGCAAGCCTTGCTTCTACTCTTCTAATTTAATTCCAAGTTCTGTCTCTGACTTGCACTGTCTTCTGCATTCATCTTCCCAACTTACTAAATGGCAAGAACATCCCTATACTATGTATTTGTGCTCTCCATCTGTCCCTCCTGCCACTGGTAAGATCTTCCAGTATGATCTCTCTAAAAAGAGGTTCTTGCAGGTTGCTTGAGACATTCTAAGTCAGTGATGCATGAGGTTGGCACAGGGAAGACTTTTTTTTAAAGGGATGTAGCATCTATCATGAATTAATCTCAATATGTGCTACAAATTGAACCATAAGTTTTCATGTATCTCATTACAATCCTCACAAGAACTCTCTATGGTACTTATTTACAGATAAATTTGAAATCCATATTATCTCTATGGCGAATATGCTTTGTGAAATAATGTTGAGTGAATTTACAATTAATTCATTGTTTACCATACTTTTTTTTAGTCCAGGTATTGATTAGCATGAGGGAAGAACACAAAAATTGGTTGACTATGACCCTACTCTGTAGGGAATTGGCAATCTCTAGAGACTTCAGAGTTTATCAAGGAGAAGAGAGGCAGGCAGGTAGAGATGACCACTGGATGAAAGGTATCAGAAAGTCTTATCTGTCCTGTAGTTGACACGGTTTATTTGTTTCTGAAACTGCAGTTATGAGGAAAGAGTAGTATAAAGAGGGAGTTTTTGGTAAATTTGGATAGAGATCATCACCTATTCTTATTTAGGTTTTGAGTCTATAGTTGGCAATGACACCTGCCATTGATTTCCAAAGAGACATGCAAATAGGACAGAAGCACTGACGCTTGCTCTCTTCCTATTGCCTCTCACTCAACTTCCCCAACACATTTACTACAAAGAAATCTGGTCCGTCACTGAATACCAGTGTCCTTAAGAGCACATGGTCTGCGGAGTTCATGCTGGTTATTGCTGGTAATGGCAGGGAGAATAACAATGTATTTCATCTTATTCACTTTAATGCCATACATACCAAAGGATTATCTCAAAAATTCATCTATATACAATAATGTTTTCCTGGTAATTCACATGTCATTCACACATATAATTTGGGTTGGACTAAAAATACCTTATCCTCTGCTTGGTGCTTTATACGTTGGATGCTTTCTGTCTTCCATGGCTGTGGGTGAGGACCTAGGAGCAAATCCCAGAGCCTCCAGCCAGAAACTCAGCCTCCCAATGAAAAGTACACCTCTGCATTGGGACCAAGTGCCACAGACCTGTGAGAGTGGGGCTCATACTCTTGATAGACAGGGATTCCTTTGCTATGATTGGGTTTTTTTTGGATATTGCTGTCCATACCCTGCTATGTTCACTGTATGTGAATTAGAAAACACTATTCTGTTGATCTTGGAGTATGCCAGCTCTGCTGCACCTGTGTATCAAACTGTAGGCATCATGGATATAATAGGTTCCTCTGTGATATTGATCAGTTTCTGTGGCCAGAGGTGGGACTTAGCATCAGAATTCATATACTCACACATTCTATAATCTGGTTCCAGGCATCAAAGATCTGAAAGATATTAAAATGAACACAAGTATACATGTCATCTACTCTGAGAAAATGCACAGTTAATTCTGACTTTCCATGATCACATTCTGTTTCCACCAACTATCCCAGAGGTGAATGTTTATCCTGCATGTTCTGTTTACCATTCCCTGGATTGTCTTTATAGCTCCACCACACACGTCTCTCCTTATCAACATATTGTAGATTTTTTTCATGTTTTGCAACTTTTTGTAAATAGTAATGTATTGCATATATTGTTGTGCAACTTGCTTTGCCCCAAATTTTGTCTAATGCATCTTGATTTTGTAGGTGGCCACTTATTTTCAACATGGTAGTGTTCCATTATATGTATATGCTACTTTCTGAATATTCCATACTTTATCTTTCTTTTATCCCGTTGATGGATTTGGAGATTATTTTTGCAAATTCCAACATTGTATAAAAAATTCTCAAGTATGTTCTATATATATAAGAATGTTCTGTCTTTTGTTTGTACCCAGAACCTTCCCACCCACTCCCACCCCAGCCTCCTCCCTAGTATATGTATCCAGGGCTGAAAGCTCACCCTTGGCTATTCTAGACAATGCCAAGGTATTATTTCTCAGATTGTCTGTACCAATTGTTGTTCCCAATGTTCTCTTGTACTTGACACTTTCAGAGTTTTTAATACTTTCCTGTCTGGGTATCACATTTTTGTTTTCATTTGCATTTTCTGACTATTAATGACATATAGCCTATATGCACCTGAGCATGAGCACATGCACATGTTTAGTCGTCCTTATTGTTTTCCATCTGTGGTTTGTAAAATGAAGTCCATGTTCATGTCTTTTATCCATTTTTCAAGTTCATTTTTTCTTATTAATGCATTGAAGTTTGTCATATATTAATAATAGACTTTTTGTTATATGTGCTATGAATAACTTCTTTGCTTCTATTTTCATGATCTTTGTACTATGATTTGTGTAATCTATTTTGCTACACAGGTGTCTTTGATTTGAATGTAAGCAAATATGTCAGTGTTTTCTTTTATTATTTATAGTTTTTTGTCTTATTAAAGAATCTTTCCCAGAGTCTTGGCACTAAAAAACACCCTCCTCTATTTTCCTCTAAACCTTTTAATACTTTTATTGGATGTCTATTGCTGTATAACAAAATTACCACAAACTTAATGGCTTAAAACAACACACTGATTATATCAGAGTTCCTGTGGGTAGGAATCCATGTGTTCAGTCTTTCACAAGGCTGCCATCAGGCTGCTGGCTGGCACTGGAATCTCATCTGACACTCACCTGGAGAAGCATCTGCTTCCCAGCTCCGTGGTTATTGGCAAGATCCAGTTCCTCATCGGTTCTTGGACTAAAAGCCTTAGTTCTTTTCGAGCTTTTGGCTGAAGACCACCCTTAGTCATGACCACATGGGCTTCTCCGTATGACAGTTTACTTCATGAAAGCCAGGATGGGAGCGAATCAGTAGAGAAACTACTAACTACTAACAATGTAGCTCAA